GGAAGGGTAAGCGTGTGTGTAAGCATAGTAAGTCACAAAAAACGAGCTTCATTAGTTTCTTCCACTTTTGAAATTTATACCAGTTTTAAACATTTACGAATAAGCATGTATAATGGAAAATATGGAACTTTATACACAAATAAATAAAACAAGTAGAATTTCTACATTTAAAAAATCTTACAATTGATACCAGTGTTCGATAATTGCTAATCGAGCTTATAAATCTTGTCTGAAAAAGACTAAATTTTGAAGTTATTTGGGGGAAGAAATGAAAAAGGCAAACTTTTGTGATTTCGCACGATTTTCTTTTTCGGCCAGTTTCGACAAGTTATATTTCAAATCAAAATTCTTAGTTAAAAAAAAATGCATTTGAGACACACATTTTTTTGAAAATATTTATACCAGTTTTTTAAGACTTAAATCGTAAAATATTTAGTAAAAAACAATCGACCAGTTTAGGTTAGTTCTAAAATTAGGCCGAAGGTCCGTTAAATTATTAAGAAATATTTTTCAATCCAAACGGCAATTTTACCAAATTTATACCAGTTATTTTTCAAGCCTTGCAGCATTGAAAACTATAAAAATTTGGGCAGTTTGACGTACAATCCCATACACTAAAATATTAGAAACTTAAGTTTAAACCACTTTTTTACATTTCGACCAGTTTATACCAGTTTTTAATAAATCAAACATATTCAGTATGATCAAAAATTGTGCTTATTTAATAAAAACCATTTTGAATAAACAAGCTAGACCATTATTTTCAATACCACTTAAATAAAAATATATAACTTTGAGCTACAACGTCTAAAAATTTGTAACACATAAATGCTATAATCCTCAATTCTTTTTGGCTTTTCGCATCGTCTTCATCTGCATTGCACGCATTCATACATTTTCACTAATTACCCAATTACACTCGCTTACGCTCACTTCAAGGTCTTATTAGTACGTATTTTTTATGCCATTCACATTCTCTCTAATACCTTTAACAAAACCCTTCTTTGGTTTCGCCATATTATAATATTTCCAGGCACAATTTCAAACGTCCCAACAACCAAAGCGGTAGTATCTTACAAAATGTGATTTAATTAGACAACCGAAAAAAGAAAACAACAAAGGCAAACAAATATAAACAACAAATACTTACATAAACAAAAATACGTATGAGAAAACAAAAATGTGCTTAAGTGATTGCGGTGCGTGCATGCACACGCCTTTTTGGTTGTAGCCATGAAAACGAATAGCGCGGTTGAAGGTTGCACGCCAATGTTGTAACATATGGTTGGCATGACGAAGACTTAAGCGCGCGTTACATAAAGGGAAGCTCATTAATGTTTTCCCTTTCATTTAGTGCCATCAGCGTGGAAGACCTTTGTCGTTTGCCTTCCAACATTTCGCTTCCCACATTGCTCGCGAGAAAACCTGCTACCAAAACGCGCATATGATAAAGTTTCATTTCTTATAAATCATTTCAATTAGGTTGCCTACTTAAAGGCTGTCTATTATGTAAAATATTGTAGAGTTGTACATGTGTTTGAAGTACCACTTTACGGCCAACATGCGGGCAACACACATATGTGTCGGGACGTGTAAGATTGTTGTATGCGTGGTTTATGCGCCGCTTCAAAATTAATTTTAATTATATTATTTAATTGGTTGATGTGCTGTCATGCCCGAAAGTATGCAACGCTTTTTTAATAGCTATTAAATGAAGCTGTTTGAGATGTTTTCCAACATGTTTTAAGTTAGTGGAAAATAAGAAGCTTAGCGCGTTTTTTGTGCCACTACTCCTCTATATCATCACTCTATGTACTCCCCAGTATTTTTCTCTTTCGCCGCAATCCACCATTTCTTGTCTTTCGCGCTTTACTTTCCCACCATCAATCCAACCGATTGCGTAATGCACTTCGGCCACTCAACTTTTAACTGCATTTGCCAGCTTAACTGACGGGCATACATATATCTCGAAGAGTACTCTTGCCTTTCAACTACACACATTTCTTTCGTTCTTTTTTAAGCGCTCAGCATTTTTCGTTACCCTCCCGCTCCATGGCTGCATGAACGCTTCGTTGATCAACTTAAGACAACCAAACTTCATGCATGTTTAAATAGCTGTAGAAGCGCCTTCGTATGGCTTACACTTTATGCTGTGTACTTTGCCTCCTCTCTGCATACTCTAGTCGCCTTTACTCTTCTTATATGGGGCCTTATTTACTTTGACTCTTACTCTTTGTCGCCTCCCCCCTCGTTCCTCTTCCCATTCACCGCAATATTGCGGCTTTTCATGTGTTCACATTCGCTTGACTGCTCATAAATTTTGCTTGGCCGCAATGCATGTTCGCCATTTTGGCTTTTTAGCATTTCCAGCATGGGGCATACTTTCAGGCTTTCGCACTACTGACGTTGTATGCCAGGCCGACCACTAGGCGAGTAATGAAATGTTGTAAGTGGCTCTGCCGCTAATCAGCCAATTTTTGCGGCACATCGTTGGTTTTTTCACGGTTGAATGGATTTTCTAGTCGACGCTTTTTAGTGGTTAGTTGGGTGGATTGTAGGCGGGGTGTAGGCAATGGCATTTTTGGAAAATAAACTAGATTTTTCCTAACTAAGAACGCGGATCAGTCTGATTGCATATTTTGTGAACTTAAGTGAAAATTTAGTCTTTTAGGAAAAAAATATTTATACCACTTTCTGGCATAAGTATAGAATTTGTAATTCAACCCAGTACTTACTGCCGATTCGCTCAGGACCAATAAATTTCAGCTTAAGTTTGTATAAAAAATATACGAGTTTCTGGTATAAAGTAGAATTTTAATTTTTTATACCCCATTACTATTTGCTGATTTACTTAACACCAAAATACTTGTCGAGAACTACTCCATCTGACTGTACTAATTTCGACCAGTTTAGTTTTGCACACAAAAATCGAAAATTACATATACTAGGGTGGTCCTTAAATGTAGGAACCAAATTTTACATCAAATTTCCTAAGCCTCAACCCCTAGGCCGATGTTACTATAGTCGAAAGTATCACATATAAATTTTGCTCCCGATTGTATACGGTTAAAGCGTGTCGCACAGGGGGCAAATTTCAGATTACCCTTTGAAGGCGTCTTAATCGTCTCTAAATGTGGCCGTGGTATTACCGATTGATTGGGTGGGACGGAAAAAAATCGTGCATTTGATTGTATACGGATAAAATCCGGATTTTCGGATATCCGGTTAATATTCGTTCATTTTGTTATCCGAATATTCCAATTTTTTAATCAGATATTCGAACTTATTTACTAAGTTTTGTACTGAAAACCTTGCTACCAATTACATATGTATTTACCTGAGAACTTTAAATTCGACTAGGAGAAATAAATATGCCTACAAAACCTAAAAACAGAAATATTTATGGCGAAATTTTATGAAAAATTTCAGTAAAATATTTTCTACCAGTTTCTGGTATAAAACTAGAATGCATTTTTCCACACGATTTTTCATTGCTAATCAACTATTTTCCCAAAACAATATGTCCACAACATCTTAAAAAGGGCTGCCCTTGTTTCGACCAGTTTGTTTTTTTCATCAAAATTTTACGAAGATTGAAATTTTGAGGTATATTTACGTAGAAATCAAAGAATAAAATTATGCCAGTTTCTATTTTTTTACCAATATTCCGATACAAACTTATTATGCTGACACTTTTTCAAATGTTTCTTATTACCATAGCTAACTTCGAATTTCCAATCCATTTCCATTTCAGATGAATTTTGCGAAGAGTATCCACATAATCTCATGCCGACGCCCGGCTATTGGATCGAGTGTTCACGTCAGAAGATCACACTACCCACACCGCATACCATTTGGGATGAGAGCGATTCAGAGCACGAAGACGTGCGAGCGGGCAGTTCTAGCGATGCATACCTCGAAAGAGAATGCAGTGATCTGTACGAGGACGATGAGGACTCTGAAGCGACGCCAAGGTGAGCTCGTGAAGAAATAGAGAGTAATATATGTATGTATGTATGTAGTAGCACCCCGTAGTCGAAACTCGCCAAAGACAAGCAAAAGACTAACTCTCACAATAAATATTCGACCAATTTTTTAAGTGGCGCTATAAATTTTTTGATTTTTGCTGCTAAAAAAAAAATCAAAAAAAGAGAGAAAACAGAAGTTTTTAATATACCAATATTTTGTTTACCTTCCCCACCTATGCTGCCACATAAACTCCTGCTCACACAATCACAAACATGCAAACACTGTTTCGTTGCCAACTCCCGTTCATCAACACACCTTGCCACACACGCATATTTTCACACACACATCCGCACACATTCGTTGAACAATTTTATACGAATGTTTAAGTCCTAGGAAAAAGACCACCATCGAGGAACAATGGGATCAACAGGGCGCATTCGAGCTCATCTCCGTCGAACAGGAGACATACGAGAAATATTTTTACGGCACCGAACATTGGAATTATTTTACCAGCGACGAGGATCTCGGCCCAGTCATACTCTCTATCAAGCAGGAGACCTTGAATGGACGTGATCAATTTCGTATATTGGTACGCGCCGGCTCGTATACGGTGCACGGACTGATACCGGCTTCGTGTGTATTCGCCGATAGGTGAGCCGATTGAGAAGAGAGAGAAAGAGGAAGGGGTGATTCAAATAGTGATTGAAAATTCTCACGATTTTTTGCAGATATAACCGCGAAGAAGTAGTTAGGTCGTTAGGCAAAGAAGTGAATTTAAATCCACCATTAACATTAGGACAATTACCCGATACGCCCGAGGAGCTACTCAAATTAGATCAGGTATGAGTTGTGTGAGAGAGCGAAAACAAAGATCAACAATGAGAGAGAAGAAAGGTTGTGAGGGTATAATTTTGAAGAGCGCTCTCTCATTTGATGCTTTAGGAGAAGTTTTACCCTTAATTCACTTATTCTCAACGCCCACAGGTTTTTATAAAATCAGAACTGAAAGTTGGCGTTATCTATGTGAAAGAAGATCAATATTCGGAAGAGCAAATTTTAGACAATAACGAAAATTCCATACTCTTCGATGAATTCCTAACGCTACTCGGCGATCGTGTGCGTTTACGTGGTTTCGACAAATACAAAGGTGGCCTTGATACGGTGCATGATCTGACAGGTTAGTTTGAATGAGAAATAATTAAAACAAAAAAAAAAACTATCAGGCAAACTTCTTCTATTCTATTTTTCATGCTCCGCACACCCATAGGTCTCTATTCGGTTTACACCAATTGGCGTAACATTGAGATTATGTTTCATGTATCCACTCTCTTGCCCTACGAGAAGCATGACCCGCAAAAGCTACAACGCAAACGACATATAGGCAATGATATAGTCTGTGTTGTTTTCCTAGAAGCGGATAATACGCGCTTTAGTCCTGCCTGCATAAAATCTCATTTCCTACATACATTTATACTGGTAAGACATATGTATATGAATGTTACTCACCTGCGCTCATCTGCTCTGCGTTGCGCCGCATTCACTCTTTCCTCCTTTTTAATTTAATTTCACCGCCGGCAGGTGCGTGTCTCGGCTCGAATTAAACACAAGCCGACGCGCTATGAGGTTTCGGTGGTAACGCGCGATGAAGTCGGCGCCTACAAACCGTATCTCTGGGAGCAGTCCGTGTTCGAGAAGGGACCAATGTTTCGGTGAGTATGCGATTTTTAGCACACTTACTTTTTTACCCATTTATTTTTCACTAATTTTTTTTTTTATCATTTCGTCACTCACTTTTCATAAATTTTCTCACAAATTTTTTCGCTTATTTTTATACTCACTTTTTCACTAATTTTTCCGCTTACTTTTTACTTATTTTTTAAACTTTTTTTGCTTACTTTTTCTAATTTTTTGCCCTTTTTACGCATTTTTTGCTCAATTTTGCTAAGTTTCGCGCAAATTTTGTCCACTATTTTATTATCATTTTTTACATCATTCAATTTTAATTTGCTGTTGTTTTTTTTAGCGCACTTTTTCACTATATTTCACTCATGCTCATTTTGGCTCACTCATTTTGATCGCTAATCTTCTCACTTTCCTTCTCTTTTTCCTCTTTACAGCGAATGGCTACTCACGAAAATTGTCAACGGCGAGCGCGCTTCGTATTCGGCACCGAAATTTGCCCGCATGCAAGAACGTACACGCTCACAAATGCTCGAGGATTTGGTGATGAATTTATCGAATCACGCGGAAACCGGACAGATACCGAAACCGTACCGTAGGGGCTCGTGGCGACCCATCGGTGAGGATGAATATAACAAAATGTTGCATGCAAGAGTTTTAGCCCATGGGACGGCCACACCGCAATCGTCGTCAGAGGGCGTTGATGTGTGCTGTGTTAATCTCGGTTCCAAGCATAGTATGTAGGCGTTGAGTTGAGCCCCCTCCCCCCCGACAAACAATTTGCGAGACCCTCCTCGTGTTCAAAGATATACATTACCTGAAATTTAGAAAAATATAATTAATTTTCCAAGTTGCTTTTTTCCAGCAAAAGTTATACCTAAATTATTATGAATTCAAAATTCGTGCATTTTAATTAGCAATTGGCGTGTAGGTCCAAGTAAATGTGTGGTAGAATGAGTAAGAATTAACCATTTTAATGTTGAATTGGCAAGAGTGAATTTAGATCAGTATGCGTTTAATTGCTTGAAACTAACTTATTTTAAATGTTAATGGGACAAAATAATAATGGGATCGAAATTTTCTTTTCGAACACATTAGCTCACCTATTTATACCCATTTAAAATGTCGACCAGTTCAATTCCATGCGCTTAAAATGCTTGCCGCCAACTGTTTTTAACTATTAAAACAACAAGGAATAGATATGTTCAGAGCTCCCATTGTTTAAACCTGCTTGCTCTCATTTATGTCAGTTCCTAATTAAAATTTATTTTTACGAAGGAAATTCGCAATTTTTTGTTTAAATTGGCTAATATTTATTTTCGACCAGTTTGAATTGCTGTTGTGGGAAATCGCATTAGTAACAGATTGCCAGTGTAAAACTAAAAATTTATTATTTTCTATAAATCGCTTGCCTAATATCCGCTTTCTATGCGTTTATACCACTTCCAAAAATTGGTGTAAGTTTTTCCCATTTCAAACAAGGTAGCCTACTTTATTAAATAATGAAAAATTTTAGTAAATTTGTGTTGCTAAGACCGGAATTTCACATTTTATGGCTTACTTGCTAAGAAATAATTTTCGACCAGTTCAAATCAATACGTTTGAAATTATTGTAATTCACATGTTTTCGAATTTATACCAAAATAAAGCTATTTTAAAGCTTATTATTTGCTGCATTTGTACATTTAGACCACTTCAAAAATTTTGCGTAAGTTTTTGTTTACGCATCAATGGCAAATCGAGCAACCAAATTATACAGACCCTGATAGTTTTTTTAATTTATACCAACTGACACTTGAAATTTTTAAGGAGTTTTACTAAATTTTTGCCACTTCTGAACTGATACCAGCTTAAATTATTGAGGCAGACATATTTTTAGCAACCAAAGGCAAGCACATTGAAAGCACATCTTTTCATTTTATACCAGTTTGTGTTCACCTGTACACTTTTTATACCCGAGCGCACTTGTGCACAAGGGTATTATAACTTTGTTCACATAACGGTTGTTTGTAACAGGCAAAACGAATCGATATCGATCGATATAGACAAATGTATACATAAATGATCAGAATGAAAAGAGAAATCGATTAAGC